CCGAAGTGGTGCTGTGGCTCAAGTGGTAGAGCGCTAGCCATGAGCTGAAGAGCTGAGGGACAGCACCCAGGCCCAGAGTCAGGCCCCACGATCAGACCCAAAAAACAAAAAAAATGTAAGAATAGCTGATGGGTGGATACCACCCAGTGACTCACACCTATAGTCCTAGCTACGCAAGAGGCTGAGATCTGAGGATTGCAATCAAAGCAGACCTGGGCAGGGCTGTGAGAGTCTTTTCTCCAATTAATCACCACGAAGCTGGAAGTGAAGGTGTGGCTCAAGTGGTAGAGCACTAGCTTTCAGTGGGGAAGAAAAAAAAAAACAACTAAGGGACAGGGCCTAGGCCCTGAGTTCAAGCCCCAATACTGGAATGAGAAAGAGAAAATAAAAATTCAAGCATATGGAAGCATGAGATGAGCCAGGCACCAGTGGATCACACCTATAATTCTAGCTACTCAGAAGTCTGAGTTTTGAGGATCTCAATTTGAAGTCATCCTAAGCAAGAAAGTCCATGAGACTCTTGTCTCCAATTAACCAACAAAAAAGCTGAATATAGAGTTGTGGTTTAACTGGTAGAGTGCTGGCCTTGAGCAAAACAAGCTCAGGGACAGCACCCAGGTCCTGAATTTAAACCCCAGAACTAATACCCAAAAAAGGTCTGGAAGTATGAATGGATAGGTGGATGGCTAAGAGGATGGATGGATGATGGCCAGATGAGAGGATGGCCAAATGGGAGAGATGATGGACATATAAGCAGAAGAGAGGATAGATGAATGGATCCAAGAAAGGAAGAATGGATAGAAAGGAGTCTTGATGGAGGGAGAATGACTGGGAGAATAGATATCTGAACAGGAAGGTAGATAGATCTGATGAAAAATGAAAGGAGAGAAGTAAAGGAAGGGACTTCAGGGTGCCTGTGTCACACTGTCTAGTACCCAACCCTTGCCGCACCCCACCTTGTACCTTGTCACCCTCCAGGCCATCGGCTGGAGTATCACCCTGTTTCTGATTGTGGTGGCCTTCCTGGCTCGCTGTCTGAGACCATGTTTTGACCAGACAGTCTTCCTGCAACGTAGATACTGGAGCAACTACGTGGACCTAGAGCAGAAGCTCTTTGATGAGACCTGTTGTGAGCATGCGCGGGACTTCGCACACCGCTGTGTGCTGCACTTCTTCGCCAGCATGCAGAGTGAGCTGTGGGTTCGGGGGCTGCATCGGGATCCTGCAGACCAAAGCCTGGAGCCCCCCAAGTCTTCAGAGTCCCCAGAGGACCTTGATGGAGGAAGCGGGAAGGCCCACCTGCGTGCAGTCTGCAGTCGAGAGAAGATGGACCATCTTCTAAGCACCTGGTACTCCAACAAACCACCACTGGACCTTGTAGCATCCTCTAGGCACTGGGGGGCTAGCCTCAACCACCGTGTCCCCATGGTGGTCCCCAGAACCAGGCTATCCCAGCACACAGATGTGTAGAGACCCTCTTGAGCTTGAACAGTCACAATGTTCCCAAGTGAAATGCCCATGCTGACACATATCTGGGGTCAGCCTACCCTTGTTGCCTCCTCGAATAGCTGCTTGGTTTTCGGAGTGTGGCCTGCTGTGTGGGCATCATTCCCTTTGTGCTCTAGTGAAATGCAGGCTCTGACCCAGTGCCTCCAATGCTGGGTACCACAATTGCATTTTTTTGTCCAGTCCTGGGGCTTGAACTCAGAGCCTGAGTACTGTCCCTGAGCCTGCTCAAGGCTAGCACTCTAGCACTTGAGCCACAGCATCACTTCTGGCTTTTTCTGATTATGTAGTGCTGAGGAATCAAACCCAGGGCCTCACGCATGCAAGGCAAGCACTCTACCACTGAGCCACCTTCCCAGCCCCATATAATCGCATTTCTAAGCAAACTCCTAAGGTCATGCCAGTGCTTCTGGTCTATAGATCAAACTTGGAATATCAAGAGCCTGCATAGATGGACAAGGGTTCTAGGTTTTAGACATCTATTCTAAGTAATAAAAACAATAATAAGTTCCACAATGTACTGTGCTCTGTTGAAACAAGAGGAAAGATTTATGTCCTGCTGATGTAATAAAAGGAAAATGCTAGAGACACTTCCATTCATATGAGGAAGAACAGAGCAAATGGTCACTGAAGACAACAATAAGAGAGAAGTAATGGCAGCTGGTGGCTCCCATGTGCAATCTTAATTATTTGGAAAGCTGAGTTCTAGAAGATCAAGGTTTGAGGCCATCCCTGACAGAAAAGCTAGAAAGACTCCTTCATATAGTGTTATATGCCTATCATCCCAAATTATAAGGGAGGCTGAGATAGAGAAGAACCGACAGGAAGCTGATCAAGGTCCAAGGGCATGTTAAGTTCCTCTTAGAGCACTAGTTGGTGCTTCTTGCCAACCTCTTCACATGAATGCCTTTTCTGTGTTTGAAGGTCAGGGCAAGCTGACCCCTTGTCAGCTCCCACCTAGCTGTGTCTCCAGCTAGCACGGGGACAACCTTCTCAAGTGCAGTTTCTTCCTCAGATCTGCCTTCTGCTCCTCTCTAACCGGCAGGGCTACACCTACACCTGACCTGTCCACCAGCAGCAGCACTGACCCCCAATCTCACCATGATCCCTTTCTAAGCCTCCTTCCCAGTTAGTGCCAGGAGTGTCTGCCTGCCCCTCCCAATGAAAGGCTGGCATCTTGATGAGGATTTCTCCAGGAGAGGGTAGGAGGTCCAGCTCATGGACAAACCCCCTCAAACACCAGTATGAGACCTGCTGGGAAAAACACTACCAGTATCTGGCAGCCCAAATAGGAAGAACTCAGAAATTCAGAATTCAGGCTTTATGCTTCTCTGGGCCTCCCTGATGACTCAACATCACATGATGTGTGTGTGTGTGTGTGTGTGTGTGTGTGTGTGTGTGTGCGCGTGCGCACACACTTCCTTTCATTAGCACAGACATATTTAGAACTTGAGTCACCCCAGGTTTTTCCTCAGTGCCCCAGGCCAGTGAAGAAGCCCCTGCTTGCACCCCTGGAGTCCAGCCCTCTCCATCAGACCATCTCTGCTCTCCTGGGCTCTGTCCAAGGGATTGGTTGAGACCAAAAAAATCCCTGCAGCTCAACCTCCCCACCTTCTGGCTTTGGTCAGGCCATGCAAATGTCTGAAATGGCACTGGGGTGGGGCAGGATCTAAGCAAATTGCTAGCAGAGATTGAGGGAGAGAATGAGGAAAGACTTTGGTGAACTTCCAGCCTAGGGAAAGGAGGCTGAGGGACCCTGCCTTAGACTCCAAGAAAAGCAGCGTTCAGACTAGCAAAAAGCCAACGCTATAGACACATGGGACTTTTTTTTTTTTTGGACAGAGTCTTGCTATGTAGCCTAGGCTGGCCACCAATCTCAAAATCCTCCTTCCTCTACCTACCAAGGGCTAGGATTACTGGTGTGCAACATCATGCCCAGCTCACTCTTACATTCCTGTTGTGTACAGAACACCTCAGTGCATAGGAAGGGCTGCATGCAGGGAGCAGGACCTCAAGGAGCTCATTAATAGAGTAAGAGACAGATATTTGACCCCAGTTAGGTACAAAAGGCAACTGCACACAGGCCCACACAGTGGGAAACAAAGAAAGGACCCTTCTTGTTTCCTGCAAATGTGCAGAGACCAGAAGTAAAAGCAGGAGGCAAGCTCTCCCACTTTCACCCAGGATGGGAGGGATCCAAGCAGACAAAAGCTTATATCCAATAAGAAGGACCTTCTACAGTGATTGACCACTGCTTAACAAATCAAAGCAAAGATACAGCTCCCAAGAGGGAGGGGACAAAAGACCAAATATCTAGCAAGAACAGGCAAAGATGCCTTGGACTTTCCCTCAAGGGGTGACCGAGAGATCTCCTTCCCACTTGGGGACTCTGCTACTCCTTCCTACTTTTGTGCTCTTATCTTCAAATAAACTAGTTCTGTTTTCCTTAAACACTTTCCTGCCTTTTAATTCTTTAAGGGGCAGAGGAAAGACCCTGAGCTGCACCTGGACCACATCATCAGGCAAGGGATGGGTACAGAAATACTGCTAACCTCATGGAAACGGTGCAGTGTCATACAGCAGCCAGGTGCCAGGTGCCACTGAGCTTTTGCAGTATGATGCCTAGCTGAGGAATCAGGAAAGGGCTCATTTGAATGGGTCTGGAAGATGTGGCATGTGCCATGTGGAAAGCTAAATGGAGGAGAAGGTATAGAGGAAAATCAAATGCAGAATCAGCAAGAACAAAGGCATGGAGTAGGTACAGGCCCACGTCTGTTGTACTTTCCCACTTAGCAAATACTGGATGCCTCGGGGAGGGGATCAGAGAGCACTATGGATGCGATCTTGTCTTACTGGATAGTTCAGTCTAGAAGAGGAGACAGGACTGTGGTAAATAAACTCTCAACCAAGTGAAGTGCCAGTCCAGCCTGGCAGAAGGAAAGGACCTGACACTCTGGGCAAGTGTGTCCATCAAGCAGTGCTCCCTGAGCCCCAAGACAGCAATACATTCCCTGGATCCTCTTCTGTTGATGACCTTCAAGTGCATCTCCCATCCTCTTTGGGCCCTGGATTTCAGACCCTAAAGATCTTTGCCGTCATTCAGCCATACTACCATTGCTTGCATTCCTACAATAGATTCCTGGAACCATGGCCACCATCCAGCCTGAGTGTGAGGGGCACAGGTGGCAGGCTTCCCTCTGAGCGGGGGGGGGGGGGGGGAAGGGAGGGAGAGGAGGAAGAAGCTGTCCTGGGGCCCAAGTTCCTGCCCCAAACCTCAGCCAAGTCTGGATTTTAATTCCCCTTGGCTGAACCCTAGATGTGGGATCTCTTCCGGGAGACACAACATCCAGCTGGGCGATGCAGAAATGTTCCAAAAACAGGCTTTGGTTGCACAAGTCAAGCTGGGTAGATGCAGCCCCACCTCCATCTGGGCTGCACCAGGAGAGGCGATCGATGGAAGGAGACTTGAAGATTTCACTCAGGACTTACTTTGTCCCGCAAAGGCATGGCAAGTACCTGGTGGTGTACTATGAGAAGTATTCAGAATAGTGAGCAAATCCGATGTATAGCCTGCATGGTCCAAGGGGAACCCTAGATCATAAATAAAGTCCCTCAAAGAAATTAAGAGCAAAATCAATCCTGTGAAGAGGAAGTCCATCGTGGGAGGATGAGAGGACTCAGCTGAGTGTTCAGGAAGACCTCTAGAATACAGGAGCATTAAACTGAGATCTTAAGGATGAAAGGGAATTTCTCAAGGGAGGAGCATTCCAGAAACATGCAAAGCATATGCAAAGGCTCTGAGGTAGGAAAAGGTCTGTCAAGTTTGAAGAGTTAAAAAGAGGCTGAGGAGCTGAAATGTAGAGCTGAGGGGGAGAGTTTACTAGCTCTCACGGGCTCATGTAGGTATCCTCTGAGGGACTGGGCACTTTAGCCATTGGAGGAAAGTAAGTAGCAACTTAATCAGCTATTTGCTGATTTTTGTGCCAGTACTAAGGCTTGAACTCATGGCCTCAGCACTGTCCCTCAGCTTTTGCTCAAGGATGGAATTCTACCACTTGAGTCACAATTTCATTTCTGGAGTGTGTGTGTGTGTGTGTGTGTGTGTGTGTGTGTGTGTGTTTACTTGGAGATAAGAGCCTTACAGACTTTTTCTGCCTGGGCTGGCTCTGAACCGAGATCCTCAGATCTCAGCCTCCTGAGTAGCTAGGATTACAGGCTTGAACCACTGGCGCTCAGCTAAATATTTGTTTTTAAAATATTACATTGGGACTGGAGGTAGGATTCAAGTGGTAGGTGCCTGCCTAGCAAGCAGGAGGACCTGGGTTCAAGTGCTAGTACCACAAAATGAGTAAATAAATAGACCAACAGATCCATAAATAAAATACAACATGGGGCTGGGAAGGTGACTCAGTGGTAGAGTGCTTGCCTAGCATGCATGAAGCCCTGGGTTTGATTCCTCAGTACGATTCCTCAGTACCACATACACAGTAAAGGCCGGAAGTGGCTCTCTGGCTCAAGTAGTAGAGCTCTAGCCTTGAGCATAGAGAGGCTCAGAGACAGAATCCAGGTCCTGAGTTCAAGGCCCAGCACCTGAAAAAAATTAAACTAAAAAAAAAAAAAGACAACATTGGCTATAGTCTGTGAGTGGCTTGACTGGGGCCAAGGTAAACCACAGAAGTAGGCAAGAACTGAGGGCCTTAGAGGAATACAGATGGAAGGAAGGGGGAAGTTAAGAGGAGGTAGAGCCAGCGCTGGATATCTTGTTTATTTTTGTTTTTTGTTTTGTTTTTTGGTCCAGTCGTGGGGCCTGAACTCTGGGCCTGGGCGCTGTCCCTCAGCTCTTCAGCTCAAGGCTAGCGCTCTACCACTTGAGCCACAGTGCCACTTCCGGCTTTTTTCTTTTTGCTTATGTGGTACGGAATCGAACTCAGGGCCTCAGGCATGCAAGGCAAGCACTCTACCAC